CTTCTTTTTTGTCTTTGCTTTTATCGTTCATCAGTGTAGTATTCAACACACTCTCATTCACATTCTTTTAAACATGAATAACATCGAAATTGTGTTTTAGGTCGAGGGAAGACCAATACTCAAGCTTAAAGAAGATACTTCGTTTCGTCCAATTCAACTCTCTCTTTTTTCTTTCATCGCCGCGCTTTCTTTTTTTACCCCCATAATCAGGATGTTTCCCTGGAATTCGATTAGAGAGACAATTTACTTGCTTTAATATAGTTGCATTACTGAATCGTCTAGGACGCGGTCTTGTCTCAGGTTGACCATCAAACAATAGACTATCCCTCCAACTATGGTTTATATTCAAGAATCGTCTGTGACCAACATAAGACATCTTGTTGGTCACATAAATCGAAGATGTGTCTTCGTTACAAGTAGGGCATGCTAAATAACCTTGACCACTCCATCCAGACAGACTGCTACGTGCTTGGAAATCATTGATAGTCCATAACAACATCGCACACATATTGAATACACTGTTGGTTGATGCATCTCTCGTTTGGACTCCTTCGGCCCACAACATTTTCAACTCATCCACCAAAGGCCTCAAGTAAACATCAATGTCCTTTGCGGGTGATCTAGGGCTAGGAATCAACAAAGTTAGCATGAAAAAAGACTCTTTCATACATATCCATGGTGGTGTATTGTAGGTACTCAATATAACCGGCCAAATACTATAATTGTTATTAAAGTTGCCGAATGGATTAAAGCCATCAACAGCTAAACCTAGACGAACATTTCTAGGTTCTTTGGCAAACTCTGGATATCTCTTATCAAATTCTTGCCATGACTTCCCATCTACCGAATGATGTATCATACCATCCGTTGATCGTCCAGTATTATGCCAAATCATATCTTTAGCTGTGAATCTAGAACTATACATATGTCGAAGCCTTGGAGTCAAAGGAAAGTACCGCAACACTTTTTGTGGTACTCGCTTCCCCTTTGTGGTTGTGTCCACTCATCTACTCTCATTACAAATCGGGAAATTTTGCATGGAATCATTCTCCTTCCAAAACAAAGCACAATCATATTTGCAAGCATGGATGGATTGATATCCTAACCCTATATTTCTTAACTTTTTCTTAGCTTCATAGTGTGAAGTTGGAATCTTGCTCTTCATGAAAGCAACTCTTAGCAAGTCTACAAGTTGGTCAAACGAACTATTTGTCCATTTATTAATCACTTTAATATGCAAAATCTTTGCCAAAAAGTATAAAGAAGACATCTCACAATCAGGGTATAACTCGGTATTGAGCTCCTCAAACAAAGCATCAAATTTTGGGTCCATGCCTCGTCCTTCATCATCTGTATTTTCTTCATTTGTATTTTGTTCCGCCATAACATCATCAATTACTCAAACATCTCATTAGTTGTTGGAATGTTTATTAGAGTCGAATTGTAGCCCAAATCCGAAACAAGACGTTTCTCACCGTGATGATGCCATATAGTATACAATTTTAGAAACCCACGGTCATGTATGTAGGCATAAACCGTACTAAAAAACTGTCGATACATATTCATACACTTTATGCACAAACAACGCACTTTGTCTTCAGATTCAACATGTTTCCTAGCAATCTCCATAAAGTTTTTAAGACCTTCCAAGAATTTTGGGGACGTTCGGTTTTCACGAATCCAACTCTTGTCGATCGTCATTGCTGTTTCAATTATATCATTGTACTTTTAATAGCAACGTAGTTTTATTATTTTGTTTTATGTTATAACTATCAAATACAAATGAAAATACAATGATTTAATAAACAAGCTAAAAAAGTATGTTGCTATGAATAACCTTTGTAGTTTAAATATTTTTTACTTAATAAACTTTGTTCTTAATAAACGTACTTTTATTAGTTTAAATATTTTTATAAATTTTCTTAATGAACTTTGTTCTTAATAAACGGTAGAGCTTAGATAAAACTATGTCAATATACATTTATAGCAATGTACTTTTATTAGTTTGTTTAAAGCATTCTATTTTCACTTCTCTTTCATATTTATAGTATATATACATCTTATTTTTTTCAATTATAGCATTGTACTTTTAATATATATATATATATATATATATATATATATATATATATATATATATATATATATATATATATATATATGGGGATATGGAATATAAATTAGAGCCCCACCTAAGCTTAGGTACTAAACCTATAAAATATGTGGTTTTAACTTAGTAAATATACCCGATTTGGTTTTCACTTGGTAATATATCATCCTCGATAACATTTATTTCCTCCATTATCGTTTTATCATCTCTGTTTTCTTTCCTCCATTATCGTTTATTACTTTACCCCAGTGAACATTACTTTTTTCCACTGTCACGAAGATCTAAGATAATCAATATTTTTGCTTCCTTATTAAAACTATTGCGTCGATCTTGAATCTACATCTTCAAGTGTTAATTATGAACCCCTTAACCGCGATCTTTTTATAGTAAAACAACGTATTTTAATGAGGTTTAATACCTAAGCTTAGGTAGGGCTGTAATGTATATTCACTTTTCCCATATACATACATACATACATATATATATATATATATATATATATATATATATATATATATATATATATATATATTAAGCTTAGGTGGGGCTGTAATGTATATTCACTTTTCCATATATATATATATATATATATATATATATATATATATATATATTGTTTTATTATAGCATTGTACTTTTAAAGCATTCTATTTTAACTCAAGCTAATAAACTAAACAAATAACACAAGCATACGTATTTCATAATTTATACATAAAATTTCATATCAACCTAAACAAATAGCATAATCATACATATTTCACAATCATACAAAATATTTGATTTCATATAAACCTAAATAAGTAAATTAACATTGTATACATACAATTTCAATTTCATATGTACCTAAACAAATTTCAATTTCATATAGTATTTTAAACACAATTATAATTTCATACAACATTAACCAACTAAATTAACATTTTATACATATATACAACTTCAATTTCACATAAACCTAAACAAACAAACATACACATACCAAACAAACAACACAATCATACACATACCAAACAAACAACACAATCCTATAATCATACAAGGATTCCAATTTCATATAAACTTATACATATATACAATTTCAATTTCAATAAAAATTAGAAAAAAAAACTATCCTGTTTCTTTCTTCTTGTTGTGATGGCCGGATTCCAATTGTCAAATTTGATGGGATCCTCCGGTGGTGGCTGGTGGTCACCGGAAATACACCAAATCAGGAAAAAAAAACTGAAAAACCAACTGAATACTTACATGATGTGACAGTGAAGGAGAGAAGCTGGACGGAGGTGGACTCGTCGGTGGGGAAGGCTGAAGATGGTGGAAGGCGGACGGTGGTGCACCAAAACCGATGAACAACTATAAACACCAAAAAAAACCCCAAATTAGGGGTAAAAACCTTCACCACACAACAATAAAGAAAGAAATTTGAGTACAAAATATGTTACCTGGTGCTAATCGCCGGTTTGGAAGCTTTAATTTGATTTTCGTCGGTGGGGAAGGATGAAGAGGGTATAACTTTTGCGTCGCTGTGTGCAAATGAAAGACAGACTGCGGTCTGCTAGTGTAAACCCCTATGCCGACGACATGTCGTCGGTATAGGGTATTGATAAACGATGCCGTTTTGGTTATTTGCTGAAACAAAAAAAAATGAAAAATCTGTGCCGACGACTAGTCGTCAGGTTTTCACGCGGATCGCCACATGGCCTGGCGACGACATGTCGTCGGTATAGATTCCGTAAAACTAATCCGTTATGGTTTACTGGACCATGGAATATAAATAATTGGAAAATAGATTTCTCGATACCTATACCAACGACGTGTCGTCGGCATAGTTTTTCAGTATACCGCGAAGAATTTGGTCGTTCCCGCCAGACTTGTAGCGACGACATGTCGTCGGCACAGATATCCGAGTCAAAGGACTTTGGTCAAATTTGGCAAAAGGTGTGGCGACGACTTGTTGTCGGCATAGGTGGACTTGTAGCGACGACAAGAGTCGTCGGGATAAGTGTCGTTGCTATAGATCAGTATTCTTGTAGTGAAGTTATCACAAAGATCGTATTGACCTCATGTAAACGATCGAGTCGAGCGTCACAATAATCTACCTGCAAAATAATCATCACAAAAATCTAAGCCTCACGCCTTAGTGAATAATACAATATTATAATCATATAAATCACATCTATCCTAATCAAGTAATCATCACTAACTAATATGTAACAAATAAATTACAACCCATAAGTAGGGGTGAGCATGGTGCGGTTTAGTCCGCAACTTTGGTTTTTTAAGTTTAGACACCAAGCAGTTCGGTTTTTTACACATTATTTGTTTGGCTTTTAGCGAAAACGGTCCCTTGATAGCAACTTTTCCTTAGTCATAAGTTGTCCATGTACAAAATCTTGGATCTATTTACAATGGTTCATTTATAACATCTTTTCTTTATTTACATAAAACGTCCATGTACAACATCTTTGACATATTTATATAAATGGTTACATGTATACATATAAATGTTGTGGTGCGGTTTTTCACTGAAAACCTCAAGACACCGAAAAATTGTGGTTTTTGAAAATATAAAACCTCATCATCGATTTTATGATCGGTTTCAGTTTTTTGGTTTTTCGATCGACGGTTCGGTTTTTGCTCACCCTACGCATAACCCAAAAGCCTTAATTGCATAGCCCACATAACCTATGACCCATAAGCTTTAATACCATAGAACATAACCCATAAACTAATAACCCCTAATGTTATAACCTATAAACACATAAGCCTTAATATAATAATTCTATTACCCGTAATCCATAGACCATAAGCCTTAATGGCATACCATAACCCTTCACCCATAAACACAAACCTTAATTTCAAAACCCAAACCCATAACCCATAATCATTAATGTCATAACCCATAACCCCATATCCATATCCCATAACCAATGAACATATAAGCCTTAATTCCATTACCTAAAATCGCATAAGCTTTAATGTCATAAACCATAAACCATAAACCATAGCCTTTAATGCCATTACCTATAACCTATAAACCAATAATCCTTAATGTCATAACCCATAACCCATAATCTATAAACCATAAACCATAAGCCTTAATGCAATAACACACAACCCGTAAATCCATAAGCCTTATTGGCATAACCCCTAACCCATAAACCATAAACCATAAACCATAAGCCTTAATGCAATAACACACAACCCGTAAATCCATAAGCCTTATTGGCATAACCCCTAACCCATAAACCATAAACCATAAACCATAAACCTTAATTCCATAACCCTCAACCCCTAACCATAACACATAACAATTACCCATAGGGTTTTTATGCTACTCTAAATAATCTTATAATTTGATATGTAGGCTGAAAGTTAATATATTAAAAAATAACAATAAGTTGTAAAAAAAAATTCAAAAATAGGTTTACCCTTAACAAAATTTGTTTTCTAATTGTACTCTCTTAACTTGACATGCAAGATTAACAAAATAATCATTACTTTAAAAATAGAAAAAAAAACAACTTGGGCGTATATTAATGTTCATAGTCCAAGATAACTGTTGTGATGTTATTCATTCGAACCCACAATTATTCTTGTGATTCGAAAGGAGATAATGCTGATCTCAGGAAACCAAAACTGTAATTTCTATCTTGAAGGTTACAAACCTTGAATTCAAGTTTTGTTCTGACGATTTCTCTACACTGCTAATAATTATGGCCCCGTAAGTTTTATTATTATTATTATTATTATTATTATTATTATTATTATTATTATTTTGTTTAGATTTTGTGTATTTCTGTGATGTTTTATCAGTGATCAGTGTAACTAGGCAGTTTTGTTCTCTTGTTGTGAGCACAAAATAATTATATTATAAAGATTAAAGGACATTGTATATGCCATTAAATCTAGTCAATTGTTCACCAAAAGTCATTCTCTATTTGTCTTTGTAACTTCTTATACATACCTTATCAAATATTCACTACTCTTTGACTATGTACAAGTTGCTACGATGAAAATATTTACTATCGGTTCATGGTTGAAAGATGGATAAGTCTTGGATGTTAATCAAAAGAACCCAAAAACCTTACATGGATGGAGTTAAGACATTTATAGATTATACAGTCCTTAATTTGAAGATCTTAAGGAACATGAACCCACTAAAAATAAACAAAAAAAACAATAAAAATTCCATGTCCATGTGTCAATTGTTTAAACCAATGTTTTCTTCTTATGGACAAGATAAAGTATCACTTGTTAAGAAAGGGAATCGATACAATCTATAAAAGGTGGATTAACACATGGAGATATAGACGAACCAACAAAAAGTGTGCATGATACGAAGGTTGTTGAATATAATAATTGTGACACCAAAATTCCAACAGATGCCTACATAAACAGTTGAAATGATTAAAGCTACATAATACAACTTCACATAGGACATAGGACCATGACAAGTTTCAAGAACTACTTGCAGAGGCTGAGAAGCCATGTAGAAAGGATGTAATGACTTCACATAGTGTTATGCACTAGTTCAACTCCTCAACTTGTAGAGTAAGCACAAAGTTTCAAATAAGTTCTTTATTGAACTTCTAGTGCTATTAAGAAGGATGTTACTTGAAGGTAACCAAATGGGGAACAATACATATGAAGCCAAGAAAGCAATGAAGGAAATGGGTTTAGGATACACAAAGATACATATATGTATCAACGACTGCACTCTTAATATGAACGAGTACAAGGGTTTGATAGTATGTCCCACTTGTGGGAAGTTAAGATGAAAGGTGGATGATAAGACAATGTTAGTCAATGGTTGACCAAGTTTTCAGGAGGGCAAGAACACGTGGGTGACTGGAACGTTGGAATAGGGACGTTGCTATTTTTTCTGTTAATGAGCTCTATTTATTAGTTGTAGTTCAGCAAGTCATGATTATTCGAAAATTCCTTGTACAACAACTCAATCATTAGGTTGCTAGTCTTCATTCAATAAAAGTGAATCATTCGGCTGCCTATTTCCAGTTTTACCCCTGTTTTGGTTTTGTTGTTTTACTGTTACATTGGCTTGATCACCAAAATTTGGTATCAGAGCAAACATATCCTAATCACTTGTATGCCCAAGTATCCTCGATTCAACAATATGACGGTCTCGTCATCATCCAATCAGCCCAAAGATAATCCCTTTACCCTTCAATGCCCGATGCTGACCTCACTAAACTACAACACCTGGTCAATTAAGATGGAAGCCATCATGGATGCCCATAGGTTATGGGATGCCATTGAGCCACCAACCGGAGTGGTTGTGGATGAGAAGAAGAGCAACCAGGCTCGAGCTTTCATCTTCCAATTTATACCAGAGGAGATACTTGCACAGGCTGCCAAGAAGAAGACAGCCAAGGAGGTTTGGGACTCTCTAAAGTCACGGTATGTGGGTGCAGAGAGGGTCCAAAAGGCAAGATTGCGGGTACTGAAAAGTGAGTTTGAAGCACTCCAAATGAAGGAAACAGAAACCATAGATGAATATGCAGGAAAGATCTCAGCTATGATCTCTAAATTTGGGAGTGCAAGGGCAATATTGGAAGATGAAGAATTGGTAAGAAAGCTGTTTGATATAGTCCCAGAAAGGTTTATAAACCTGGTGGCATCAATTGAGCAAAGTTGTGACATGGAATCAATGCCATTTGAAGAAGCAATTGGGCATTTGAAGGCTTATGAAGACAGGCTCCGGCTCCGGAAGGCAAGCACACAGGCAGATAATGCCCTGCTACTTGCCAAGGCAGAAGGCTCATCAACCCACCGGAGTCCAAGCAAGCCAAACTCACCAGGTGGTCGAGGAAGGGGCGGAAATAACAACCGGGGAGGAAGAGGCAGTTCACGAGGGCGAGGCTCTTCTCGAGGAAGAGGTGGGTGCTGGGGTGGTGACTCACGACAGGAAACTAACAACCCCAACAAGAAACCTCGTGAAAAGAGCAACATAAGATGCTTTGAGTGCCAAGAACTTGGCCACTTTGCATCTGAATGCAAGGCAAAGAAGCAGCAGGACCAGGAGGTGAACCTGGCTGCAGATGAAGAAGGTCCTGCCCTCCTACTAACTGTATCTGGGGAAGAGACATCAAACATGGTGCTCCTGAATGAAGAGAAAGTGTACCCAAGTCAGTTAAAAGAAAGTGAAGAAGAGAACATATGGTATCTAGACAATGGAGCTAGTAATCACATGATTGGCTCCAAAGCTCTATTTGCAGAACTCAACGAGAACGTAACAGGACAAGTACGATTTGGAGATGGGTCCAAGGTCCCAATCAAAGGAAAGGGCACACTACTGTTTGACTGCAAAAATGGTGACCTGTTCATCATTCCAGACGTCTATTACATTCCAGCCCTTCACAGCAACATAATAAGTCTGGGTCAGATGACAGAGGAAGGTTATGACGTAGGTATGAAGAAAGAATTCTTACGCATGTATGATAAAGAAGGCAGCCTGATTATGAAAGTGCAGAGGTCGAAAAACAGGCTTTATAAGATAAAGCTCACACCTGGAAGACCCGTATGCTTAAGCATGAGCATAGATGATGACTCATGGCGATGGCATGCACGTATGGGCCACACGAACTTTAGAACACTTGAAGAAATGGCACGTAAAGGAATGCTGATAGGTATGCCCCGGGTTACTCACCCATCCCAAGTATGTGAGGGATGTATGATATCCAAGCAATCAAGACAAAGTTTTCCACAAGAGACCTATTGGAGAGCTAAGGACCCACTTCAGTTGCTACATGCGGACTTGTGCGGTCCAATTTCACCAGCGACCAAGGGAGGGAACCAATAAATCCTCTTAATCGTGGATGATTACTCACGATACATGTGGGTGTACCTGATCAAGACCAAAGATGAAGCGTTTCGCATGTTCCAGAAGTTCAAATTACAAGTTGAGAAGGAAAGGAGCCATAAAGTCAAGATGTTGAGAACTGACCGCGGAGGTGAATTCAATTCGAACCAATTCCAGGCTTTCTGTGAGCAGACAGGTATCAGGCGTCAATTGACAACACCACACACCCCACAACAAAATGGGGCTATGGAACGTCGCAATAGAACGATCCTAGAGATGACAAGAGCGTTACTCAAGGCAATGTCTGTACCAGATCAATTATGGGGTGAAGCAAGTGAGGCACTCCGTGTATTTGCTGAACAGAACGAGCAAAAGAGCACTCAAGGATGTAACACCATACGAAGCCTGGAAGAAATCAAAGCCCTCAATCGCACATTTGAAGATTTTCGGATGTGTAGGATATGTGATAAAGCTGCGAGGTCTGAGCAAATTGAGTGATCGAAGCAAAGCCATGGTGTATCTTGGAACGGAGGAAGGGACGAAGGGGTATCGTATGTATGACCCCACTAATCGGCGTATTGTAATTGCAAGGGATGTGGTATTCGACGAGGCAAGGAGATGGGCCTGGAAGGAAGAACTTACAGGGGAGCCTTTTACCACACCATATTGGACCAATGTTGTGGTCAACGTGACAGCCCAACCACAACAGGCCCAAAACCTTGAGTCAACAGGTGAAGCAACGGAAGAATCCTTGACGCCGTTAAACAACGACTACTACAGAGACAATACAATAGATGCCTCGCAAACTGAAAGTTCGCCCTAGTTGCATACACCCGGTGGAGTCGGCTCTCAATCAATTTCTCCGACTCAATCCTCAAGAAACCAAGAAGGAGATCAGTCAGTGGCTTCTTTCGATGACACTCCAGTAAGGGGATTTCGATCCCTCAATGATGTCTATGAGAACTCAAGAAGGCTGGATGAAGTAGAGATATAAGAATTGTACGAAGAAAACCAAGAGCTACTATTGGTTGATGATGAACCCACCTCGTATGAAGAAGCATCGGCTGAAAGGAATTGGAAGCAAGCCATGGAATCAGAATTGCAATCAATTGAAAGAAATAACACCTGGACTTTGACCAAATTGCCCCCAAATCATAAGGCAATAGGGCTAAAATGGGTGTTCAAGCTAAAGAGGGACGCAGCCGGTAACGTGGTCAAACACAAGGCACGACTGGTCGCTAAAGGTTACGTTCAAGAAAAGGGCATTGAGTTCGAAGAAGTTTTCGCACCAGTGGCCCGCTTGGAGACCATAAGACTGATTCTGGCGCTAGCAACGAAAGAAAACTGGCTGGTGCATCACCTGGATGTCAAGTCCGCGTTCCTACATGGAGTCCTAAAGGAAGAAGTATATGTATCTCAACCGACTGGATTCTTAGTCAAAGGGAAAGAGAACATGGTGTACCGCCTCCACAAGGCACTGTACGGGTTACGACAGGCACCAAGAGCTTGGAACGTAAAGCTAGACCAATCACTCAAAAGGCTTGGGTTTACCAGATGCGCTCAAGAACAAGCCGTCTACAAGGTATACAAACCCAACTTGTCTCTCATCGTTGGTGTATATGTGGATGACCTTATAGTCACCGAATCAAGTGAGAAAGTAATTCTGGAGTTCAAGAAAAGAATGAAACAAATGTTTGACATGAGTGATCTGGGATTGCTATCCTATTACCCGGGAATAAAAGTGACTCAGAGTAAAGAAGGAATAATGCTCTCACAAAAGGTGTATGCAGAAAAGATATTGAAGGTGGCAGGAATGGAAGATTGCAACAGTTCACAGTACCCAACGGAGCCCAAACTTCAATTGACCAAAGATGAAAAGGGAGAACCTGTAAATGCAACAAATTACAGGAGGCTGGTTGGGAGCTTAAGGTACTTGGTTCACACAAGACCGGACATAAGCTACAACATTGGGGTCGTGAGCAGGCATATGCAAGATCCAAAGCAAAGCCACTATGCAGCTATAAAACACATCCTCAGATATGTGAAAGGGACAACTGAATATAGGCTGATGTATCGCAATGGCGGTGATGGCAAGCTCATTGGCTATAGTGACAATAGCTATAACAATGATCGTGAGGATGGAAAAGGAACCACAGGGGTGGCTTACTATTACGCAGGGAATTTAATCACATGGACCTCACAAAAACAGAAAACGGTGGCCCTAAGTTCATGTGAAGCTGAGTATATGGCTGCAACCGCAGCTGCCTGTCAAGGACTTTGGTTAAGAAACTTGTTCAGTGACCTGGTTGGAAAGAAAGCTCAAAAGGTGAAGTTGTTCATCGATAATCAATCCACTATTTCCCACATAAAAAACCCAGTCTTCCATGGGAGGAGTAAGCATATAGACACCAAGTACCACTTCATCCGTATGTGTGTTGAAAGAGAGCAGATCCACGTGGAATATGTAAGTGGTGATCAACAAAAGGCTGATGTGTTGACCAAGGCAATGCCTCGAGTAAAGTTTGCTAAGATGAGAGCACTCATCGGTGTGGAAGACCTGAAGCTGAAGAAAGTCAACATTGAGGGGGAGAAATGTTAGTCAATGGTTGACCAAGTTTTCAGGAGGGCAAGAGCACGTGGGTGACTGGATCATTGGAATAGGGACGTTGCTATTTTTTCTCTTTTTTCTGTTAATGAGCTCTATTTATTAGTTGTAGTTCAGCAAGTCATGATTAGTCGAAATTTCCTTGTACAACAACTCAATCATTAGGTTGCTAGTCTTTATTCAATAAAAGTGAATCATTCGGCTGCCTATTTCCAGTTTTACCCCTGTTTTGGTTTTGTTGTTTTACTGTTACATTGGCTTGATCACCAACAGACAAAAATAATGTATGAAAATATTTCTACAAATATAATGTGGCAGTTTCCCATTATTCCATGATTGAAGTGACTCTTTCAAGTGAAGAGCACAAAAAAATATTTATGATGACAAAAAAAGAGTATGATAAAACCTGGTGTTTTATGTCACTTATCAGATTTACCTACATGACGAGCCATCAATGAAAAATTTCCCAAAATTTCTAGTGATCCATGAAATCTTCGGCTGGGAATTCCCACTGATGGGGTTGACATTAATAGAGGCAGTAAAAATCATAATGTATGGAAAGTTAGAATGTTCATTTACAACATTCCACCGTGTCTGTGTATGAAAAGAATGTTCATGATCATGATTTCGTTATTAATATCGGGAATGCATGGAATTGATATTAATGTTTTAGATCCTTTAATTGATGATATTGAACTCTTATTTGAAGACGGGGTTGAAAAAATATGATGCATATGCACAACAAAAATTTACTTTTTTATGTAGTTGTTTTATGGACAATAATGATTATTATGCTCTTGTACACTATGTGGTTTCCCATTACAATGGATTTAAGGGTTGTGTAGTGTGTCAAAAATAATTCACTATGTTAGACTTCTTTTCTCAAGAAATCAGAGTGACGTTGTTCACAAAAGATGTACCTATGACTATCCATTCAAAAATCAAAAGAAGGCGTTAAATGGAAAAAATAAGTTGGAAACTTCTACAAATCCTATGACCGGGGAAGAAATATACAACAAGGTTAAATATGTCGACAATAAATGGGTAAAAGGATATAAGGATAATGAATCAAAAATCCCGTAAATTTCGAATGAAAGACATAGTGGAAAAGGAAAACATCAAAAGAAGTGTGTATTTTAAAATCCGGACACAACGAGCCAAGCTATTGGAAAAAATTAAAATATAGTATTAACGGCTTAGGCATTGTTCGTATATTTGTGTACAAAATTGTATTGATTTGATTTATATTGAAAAAAAATGTGATTGAGAGTATTGCTGGAACATTGTTACATGTTCCAGGTAAGAGGAAATATGGATTGCCAATAGATTGGATCTTGTGCATTTTGGTTTAACACCAACGTTGCCAACTTATCTACAAGGAAACAAAATAATACTTCATGCAACATGTAACACATTACCAAAAGATGAAAAAGTCATCTTTTGTGAAACATTATACAACCTAAGGGTTCCACAAGGATATTGTTCTAATTGTTCTAGTTTGGTGAGTCCAAACTTAAATCACATGATTATCATATGCTTATGAAACAGCTTTTTCATTGCAATATGGTCAATAATGTCAGAAACTACAAGAAATGTTATTATCATGGTTACCTTTTTGAAATCAATAGGTAGCAAAGGAATCAATATATAAGAACTTGATAAGTCATAAGAATATATTTATGTGACATTATGCCTGCTAGAGAAATAGTTTCCTCCATTATTTTTTTGATATTATGGTTAATTTAATTGTGCACCTTACCAGGGAGGTAAAATTATGTCGGCGAATATGCTTTCGATGGATATATCCCTTCGAAAGGTGTATGAAGGGTATTAAAGGACATGTATGAAACAAAAATAGATCAAAAAAATGCATTGTTGATGAGGATATTGTAGAAGAAATAATTGAATTTTTCAACGAATACCAAAAAAACATCAAAACTATTGGTGTGGAAAAGTTGCCTCCAAAATTAGCAAGTGGCAAATAGTTCAGGAGTTATTTCAGTAACTTATCATTTACTATTCATAGTTTGACTATGAATAGTAATATATATGGTAATTGAATATTGATGGACGGCATATATATTGATATGTCAAAAATGGCGGCTCCATTTGAATTGAATTCTTTGACTACGCAACAGTCGGCCAAATAATTGTTTTGCTAAACAATTGTTTATTATTGTCAATGGACGGCAAATTTGGACGGTAAGAAAGTTGTCAAACATTACGGCAATTTGGTGTTAATTGGAAGAAACTTTACGGCTACTCTCCCTATAAATATATGTGTTGCAGCAGAACAATAGGGTAGAACACAACCAAAAAATCATCCAAGTATATATAGAAAAGTATTACATATATATACTGATACACCACCGTGTATTTTAGCTCTCCCACTCTATTTGTAATCTCTTTCATAATCCCTGTAAACACTTCAAATTATAGTGAATTGTTTCTCGGCTTCCTCCGCCCGTGGTTTTTTCCCGATTTGGGTTTCCACGTAAATTCATGTGTCTCTATTCTATTTATTTTATTCGTATTTCGTTGTGATTATTACGCTTTGATAATTTTTGATCACATTCCGCATTGAGCTAATATTATTTAAGTCAATTTGGATCCGTCGTATTTTACAACAAATTGGTATCAGAGCATCCAGGTTGTGATATTAGCTCGTTGGGATCATTTTATCAAGTAATTAATCATGTCTTCGGTAAAATACGATATTCCACTACTGGATCGTAACACCCGATTTCCGTTGTGGCAAGTAAAGATGAGAGACATTCTCATTCAGATGGATTTACACAAGGCAAACGAAAGTTTTGCAACTATTGTCACAAGAAGGGACATGTGCTTGAAGAATGCTTCAAGTTGAAGAACAAAGAAAAAGAGAAGACGGCAACAAATGGTAAACAAGTTAGCACTTCGGGTGAAGCCGATCTAGCTGAGGTCGAAGGTATTGGAGAACTTTTGACAGTTTATTCAGATAAACTGGATTCCACTGGTGATTGGATACTCGACTCTGGTTGTACTTTTCATATGTGTCACAACAAAAGTTGGTTTTACACATTTGAAAAGGTTAACCAGGGCTATGTGTTGATGGGTAACAATACTACATGTCCAGTTCTTGGACATGGTTCAGTCAGGATCCGTATGTTTGACGGAGTTATTCGAACCATGGGGGATGTTAGATATGTTCCAGACCTCAGAAGAAACTTGTTATCTCTCAGTTCCTTTGACAAAAAGGGATACGAGTTTGCTGGTAAAGGTGGAGTTCTCAGGGTATTCAAAGACGGTTCCGACAAACTGAGAGCCGAACGAAAAACCTCAGATCTTTACTTTCTTGACGGGCAAACAATTTCGAGTGATGCTGTTGTTGTGTCAAAGTCTTTTTCTGATCCAGATCAGTCCCGTCTTTGGCACCTTCGACTCGGCCATATGAGTTTTCAAGGCATGTCAGAATTG